GGGGGGGGGGGGGGGGGGGGAGGAGCGAGGACACAGAAGGCTCAGGGGAAGGGGCAGAAAGGGGTGGAGTGGGGGCAGGGCCTGCGACAGAGCTAGGGGTTGAGCAGTAAGTCCCCTCCCCCCCCCCCCCGCCCCCAGCACATTGGAAAGTTGACGCCTGTACCTCCAGCCCCAGAGTCAGTGCCTATACAAGGAGCCACATATTAACTGCTAAAGTGCCATATGTGGCTGCGGAGCCACAGGTTGGCCACCCCTTGGGTAGAGAGTAAGGAAAACCTAGGTATGGCCCCAAAACTAAATGAATACATTGTCTCAGTCTTCAATAAAAAAGATGACATAGCTGACAGAGGCAAAGGCAGGACGGCTGATGGAAATGAGTGTATAGAAATGAAAATGGACACATCTGCGATAGAAACAAAGCTCACAGAGTTTGATGTGTGCACATCAAGGGGCTCACATAATCTCCACCCCCAAAATACTGAAAGAACTGGCACATGAAAGTGCAAATCCAGTTGTAATCCCTGGAGGACAGCGAATGGCTCACTTGACAATTGCCCTGTTCTGTTCATTTGCTCTGAAGCTGCGGGCACCAGCCGCTATCAGAAGACAGGCTACATGGACCATTGGTCTGATCCAGTGTGGCAGTTCTTATGTAATAAATTATCCAATTGACTGAAGAATAGGAAACATAGGGCCTATACTGAAGAAAGCAGGGGGAAGTAATCCAAGAAACTACAGACCCATTAGTGTGACCCCCAGTACAAGACTTTACAACAACTTTTGAAGGAAAGACTGAAAGACATGGTGGAAAATGTGATAAAATGCAACATGACTCTCTGTAGGACTGCCTTATCCCCATTTACCACTATACCAATCTTTGTGTTATTCAAGTTTTATCAGCAATGATTTTGCATTTATTTCGTTACCTCACTGATAAAAATATTGAAGAGCATCAGGCCAAGTACTGAGTCCTGTAGAACCCCACTAGAAACACCCTGATTTGATTAATCTCCATTGACTATTTTTGGAGATCTGTGAGTTAGCCCGTTCTTAATTAATTTAACATATTCTTTATTAGTATTGAATATTGCTAATTTTTTAATCCCCATGCTATGCAGTACCAAGTCAAACCCATCGCAAACATCTAAATATATTACATGTATACATTTATCTTTATCACCCAAACTTGTAATGAGGTTGAGCTTTTCAAAACTGTCCAGAGCACGTAAGTAAATATTTTCTTAAAGTTAAAGGATGTGTCTAAAACCCCTGGGCTGCTCTGCAAACCTGAAGCTAAATTTGGGGCACCAGGCTCACAGTTCAATCAATGACTTCAAATAGCACACACCCTTCCTAGTTTAACCTGAATGACACAGCAACGTAAAAATGCTATAGTTGCACGTCCTTAATCCTGCCGAGTCACTGAGTCAGCTAGCACTTGGAGAATGATTTGGTTTTCCTTTGATTTAGAAAGTTCATGAAGTTTACCACATAAATATAAGCAGAAGTCCATGTAGCAGCGTTCTCTCTCTGAAATCTTACCCTACAATCCCAAAACCCAGGACAAAGCGGCTGGTTTATTATTCAGATATGTCATGTTGTTTTCTTTTAACTCACAGAGTCCAACGCTTTCACATGCATCAAGATAATGAAGTTTTAAAAAGACAATGATTCTTCATTATGCATTTTTAGCTAAAATAAATGCATTTCAAGTTCCTCCCACCAAGAGCTAACTTTTGTAATTATCTGGTCCATATTGAGGACCATATTTGCTGACACTCAGTTTCCAATTTTTTTTTCCTGTACAGTATGTTAAGAACTTGACTTTTGTATTAAGGAAGCATGTTCTAATTTTAAGCAAGTTTCACAATCACATTTTTGGAAAGACCTTAATAAACTTCTCTTAATCAAACTGAGTCTTAATCAAATGTACTTGCAGCGTGACCAGTAAGTCTACAGCAAGCAATACAAACTTACAAAAATGTATACTTTACTGTCCTCCCTCACTAAAGCCTCTACAGACAAAAGACAATACAAACATCACACTGAAAAACATGAATATTGATTATAGCAGTTCAAGTACATTTACTTTTTGCAATTTGACTATGGATTTTATCTTACACAGGAAACACCCTTATACTTCCTGCAAAATGAAACCTCCACAGCAGCACCAGCCCAGGCCACCTTTCATTGCCAGGCCGTGAACAATTTAAACTGTAAATACAAGCAGGAAAGTAATCTTTTAAAAGGAGGGAGAAAGCTGCCCGGGCTGTAAACTTTTACATGTGGCACGAAGGGCAAACCTTTTAGTCCAAATCATAGTGAGAAACCATTAAAACTGGATAAAATGCCTGAGAAAATGGGCAAAGTTCTATCTACCTAGCTGTCCTCTCAAAGGTGCAGTTCCTAGTTTGTTCCTCCCTTTTGGAGAAAGCTTTTTCGTTGAAATACATTGCAATGTTCCATATTCCAGTCAAAATTTAAATTAAAAAACAAACCATGAGTTTCTGTGGGAAAGACATCTAGTGACAAGAGTTATGCTCACATTTTACAGTTCAGGAACCAAGATGAGACTGCCCATGAGTCAGGACTAAAAATCAGAAATGGAAAGACTGTGGAATCGCCATCCCTGCGTTACAGTGGGAGGAAGGACCAGAGGAAGCCGTAATGCACGGAATGTGACAATAATTGCCCATTGCTTTAAATAAAGTGTTAAGATGAATCCATGCCATGTTCAAGTCCACGCGCCGGTGCCTCTGGCTTCATGTTGGTACATGTTAAGAGCTGTGGAATGGTTGCACTGAGGAATCCTGGCCACCAGCTGGGATGGCCTCGCAGAGAGTCCCAGCTCGACTCAGGATGCTACTCATGAGAAACACGGTCCAGGGCTATGTAGAAGCTCTTCTTATCATCTAGGCAGTGCCAGCCAATCGGCCCAATCTCACAGTCTGCGCATATGAGGAACTTTACATTCCCAACGTCCTTGGTGAATCCAATATTCTCAAAGGAAAACATGTCATCTACGAGCCAGTGATCCTGGAGCACGTCCCCATCCAGAGAGTTGCTGGCAAGCAGGGCCGTCTTCTTCTTCATGGAGGGAAGGAAAAGCTATCAAGGAACAAAACATGGCATTAGCCATTTATGCACACAAGCCATTTACAAACATCAGCTATCACCTCTACAGGCTCAGCTCCAATGCAGTCAGAGCTGCAGAGCAGACACAAAGGATGAGAGATAGCCCTGCCTCACAAGTAGGCACAGACTAAGAGACATGCCACAGACACACACAGCGTTATAAATATAAGAAAAAAGCCACCACATGGTTGGGGGCAGCACAAGGAAACAAGGAGCCCGCAGTATGTTCAGCAGTGGTCTCAAGACACCAACAGCCTCCCTGGTCAGGCTGTTGTGCAGGTGGCCGGCCAAGGAGAGTTGTGAACAGGATCTGAAGGGTGATGACGTATCTGAAGGAGGACAATGAAGCAGGAAGGGGGCGTGGGGCTGGGGACTGGAGTCAGGGGCTGATCAGGAATCACTGCGGATACCAGGTGATGGTCAGGGCCCCGATGATGGGGGCAGTGGGCGGAGCTGCGAGGTGCCAGGGCGCGGCCTGCTGACGGGGAGGATGGAGCCCGTCCCGGCGGGGGAAGGGGGAAGGCAGAAAGCAACCGCTGCCGGGCCGGGCCGTACCTCTCTGCGCGCGAAGGTGGCGGCGCCGGGCAGCAGCACGCGCGAGCCGCAGCGCTGGCACAGCACAGTCTTGCGGTTGCGGCCCCGCGGGCAAACCAGCTCCTCCGCGCCTGGACTGCGAGGAGCCGCTGCTGGTTCCATCTCCGCGCAGGGCGCCGCCATAGCCGCGCAGGCGCATTAGTGCCGCCTCGGCGCGCGCAGCAGGGGCCCGGGCGGGGCGAAGGTTCCTCGCGGGAGGCGGTGTGGTGGCGCCGTGGGCAGTGCTATGGGGCTATTGGCCTGGGGCAGAGGACTACCACGGGGGTGGGGATTGCTCCAGGAGCAGGGCTGAGTGGTTACGTAAACGCCATGGGGAGCTATACGTTGGGTGATCATATTTCCCAGAGGGAAAACAGGACACAGCATGGAGCTAGCCCCAGCCCCCACGCAGGGCTGGCCCGAACCTCCGCCTCTGAGGCTGGCCCAAGCCACTCGGCCAAGTCCTCCTCTCCCCTGGGTGGGGCTGGCCCGAGTCGCTGGCTCAAACCCTCCCCTCTCCCTCACGTGGGGCTGGTGTCGCTGCTCACCCAAGCCCTGCCTCCCCCCTGCATGTTCCTCCACATCCCACTTTTTTGACAAAAGTGCGCATTTGTCCAGTTTGCTCTTGCCCACTGATCAGGTTGGCAAATGAGACAAATGCCCACTTTTGCCAAAAACGTTGGGACGGCCGGGACAAGGTTTAAAAAAGGGACTGTCTCGGCCAAAATGGGACGTATGGTCACCCTAGCTATACGCCTAGAAGTGGAATGAGGACAGAGCTGTGGCATGGGGTCACAGGCATGGGGCTATGGGGTAAGGGTAGGTTACATGTGATGGGTGGTTCCAGGGGCAGGGCCAGGGCCAGCAGTGGGTGGGTCTATTGGGATTCGTTTAGTTTGAGAGCTGCCTCTCCATATCCATATCCAGCCTCTCTCAGGGGGCAGTGCCGGGCACCTGCTCTGTCTTGTTCTTGGTGATGCTTGGGGCACGTGGGCTCAGCTGTGGGGTTGTGTGGGAGGGGATGCTCTGGGTCTTTCCTTTTGTCTGAGAGGTTTGTACTTGTAGCTTAATCAAGAGGTTTGTCAGGTGATTTGGCTGGGCAGCATCGACTAGTGATTGGAGCCCAGCAGTGGGAATTGAGAGTGCTGGACCCAGTTCCCAGAAGTGAACTTCTGGGACTTGTCTAGAAAGGAAAGTCACAGTGCTATAACTAGGGTGACCAGACAGCAAATGTGAAAAATTGGGACAGGAGGGGGGGGGGGGCAATAGGTGCCTATATAAGACAAAGCCCCAAATATCAGGACTGTCCCTATAAAACTGGGACATCTGGTCACCCTAGCTATAACTGTCTTTGGGCCAGCAGGCACTGCTTTGGGTGCATGCACTGATTGTACTCCTGAGGGAATTCTGCACCAAAAAAATAAAAATGCTGCATACAATATTTTAAAATTCTGCAAAATTGTGCATATTTTATTTGTCAATAAATAAATGTGGAGGCTTGCACGTGGTAGTGCGGAGCACATGCCACTGGCTGCACAGAGGTGGGCAATCACCCGCATCCTCCCAGGATATGGATTCAGCGGTGATGCTGCATCTGACCCTGACACAGCGCAAGGGTTGGGCCTGCCCCAGAAACACCCAGCGACATGCTCCTCTGCATCAGGTGCACCAAGCTAGAAAGCGAGAGGGACAGAGTCTTGCACACACATCGAGCCCTGACCCCAATCCAGGCGTGAGCAGGCAGACTCAGCCTGGCAGGATCCAAGTGTGGAGGGGATTAGTATGGGGGGATCCGGGTGTGGGGTGAGAGGGTTCTGTGTGGGGATATATGGGTGCAGCAGCTCTATGGAGGGTCCAGATGCAGGGGTGATCTGGATGCACAGGGGCTTGTTGTGGGGTTCTGGGTGCAGTGGCAATGGGACTCTGCAGGAGGGTTCAGGTGAAGGAGGTTAGGACTCAGCTGAGGGGGTCTGGGTTTGGGAAGATGGGGCTTATCAGGGGTGCTGGGGGCTCAGCAGGGGGCAGTCTGAGTGCTGAAGAAGTGAGGCTTGGTGGAGTGGGGGTCTAGGTGCAGCTGGTTAGGGCTTAGTAGGGTGACGGTCCAGGTGCAGGAGGCTCATCAGGGTGATCCAGGTGTGGGGTGAGGGTGGGGATCATCAGGGTTGGGGTTTGAGTGTGTGGGGCTCTGTGGGGGGGTGCAAGAGTGGGGGGTCTGGATGCAGGGGGAGGGGCTTGACAGGGGTCTGGATGCAGGGGGGATGAGGCTCAGTGGGGTAGGGGTTTGGGTGCGGGGAGCTCATCTAGGGGTCTGGATGCACAAGGGCTGGGTGGAAGGGGCAGCAGCTCCCTGTACAGTGACCCCTTTGTCCTGCAGCTGAGGAACAATGGGGGCAGGAAGCAGGGGGAGGCATTCAGAGCTTCCTGGAGCTGCGGCAGGTTTCTGGTGTTGGGTCTGACCCAGCCTCGGCCCTGGCCATTCCTTGCAGGGGAAGAGGAAGTCTCATCCTCCTCCAGCCCAGCTGGGATTAGCAGCTGAGCCCAGCGCAGGATAGGAGCCATCGGCAGCGATTTACCTCTCTGCTGGCTGCTCCGGGCTACTGAAATGATGCACCCGCACTTCGGGGGAGGGGCACATGACTGCTCTTGCAGCTTCCCTTTGCTTCCCCATCAGAATTCATTTTTCTGTGGGGAAGCAAAGAAATCTGCTGGGGATATGAAATTCTACACATGCACAGTGGCAGAGATTGCCTTCTATTGCTTTATCTCAACGTTTCAATCAAAACAAACTGCTTTTGAATTGCCTTTACTCTATTTCAGCCTGGGATAAACTGGTATAAGGGCCATGCGGATGCATCATAATGCTGCTATAACCCTCCCAGACCTCCTAAAGTGGTGGTACAGCACAAAATGATGTGAGAGTGGCAAGGGGGGGAAAGTGCAGTAGATTTAATCTTCCTGGATTTCTCTAAAACATGTGATACAGTTCCACATGGGAAATTATTAAATTGGAAAAGAGGGGGATCAATATGAGAATCAAAAGGTGGGTAAGGAACTGGTTAAAGGGGAGACTAGAGTGGGTCATGCTGAAAGGTGAACTGTCAGCCTGGAGGGAGGTTACTAGTGGAGTTCCTGAAGAATTGGTCTTGGGACCAGTCTTATGTAACATTTTCATTAATGAAACAAGGTGGGTGAAGTAACATCTCTTGTTGGACCAACTTCTGTTTGTGAAAGAGGCAAGCTTTTGAGCTACATAGAGCTAATACAATGTGTGGATGACACGAAGTTGGAGGTATAACCAACATGGAGGACCAGAATATCCTAAAAGGAGATTTGGCTGACCTTGAAAAATGGCATTATAGAAATGGGATGAAATTTAATTGTGCGGAGTGCAAGATCATGCAGTAGGGGACTAGCAACAAGAATTTTTGCTATAAGCTGGGAACTTATCAGTTGGAAGCAGCAGAGGAGGAGAGAGAGGATGACTATGAGCTGCTAATGTGATGTGGCCATGAAAAAGGATAATGCAATCCTAGGATGCATCAGGCAAGGTATTTCCAGTAGAGATAGAGAAGTGTTGTTAACATTGTACAAGGCCTCATCCAGAATACTGTGTGCAATTCTGGTCTCCCACGTTTAAGAAAGATGAATTCAAACTGGAACAGGTGCAGAGAAGGGCTACTAGGATGATTAGAGGAATGGAGAATCTATCTTATGAAAAGAGACTTAAGGAGCTTGGCTTGTTTAGCCTAACAAAACAAAGGCTGAAAGGAGATATGTTTGCTCTCTATAAATACATTAGAGGGAAAAACATCAGGGAGGGAGAAGTGTTATTTAAGTTAAGGGTCAATGCTGGCACAAGAACAAAAGGATATAAACTGGTCATCAACAAGTTTAGGCTTGAAATTAGAAGGTTTCTAACCATTAGGGGTGAAGTTCTGGAACAGTTTTCCAAGAGTAGTAGTGGAGGCAAAAATACGAATTTGTTTGAAGACTGAGCTTGACAAGTTTATGAAGAGTATGGTATGATGAGGTTGCCTGCAATGGCATAGGCCCAGCTGCAACTGCTATTAGCAGATATCTCCAGTGGATGGAGACCGGACACTAGATGGGGAAGGCTCTAAGTTACTATAGAGAATTCTTTCCCAAGTGTCCAGGGGATGGGTCTTCCACACAGGGCTGGATTAACTTTTTGTGGGCCCGGTACCAAACATATTTGTGGGCCCCCCTGGGGGCCAGGGGCAAGAGCACAGCGGGCAGGGTGGATTTGATTTAAATCATGATTTTGTACATAAAAGTTCATTCTTGTTGGTTGTTATAACCTTAATACATATTCTTCACAACTCAGAGATAGATGTAGGTTTCATTTTTAGAAAGTACACACTATACATTTTTAAACAGTGATTTATTTTGAAAACTTTTCAGTTGAGTTTTACAGCTATATAGGCAAATGAATGATTGTTTGGTTATTTCATTTAACAAAGGTAATTGAAGCAGATATTTATGAAGTCATTGGGAGGTGAACTATCTCCAGTTCAACAGGTTAATCATTAATATTTGGAGGATTTTCTTGCCATGCTGTATTAGGAGGAGAACATCACCAGACAGACATTAAAATTGTTTTATTTAACTAAAACAACACCATTAAGTATTTTGGATTTTTTTCTTCAACATCAAACATTTATCTCCAGACTTCTCCTTGTCCAGATCTATTCCGCCCCCAACAATCTTCTATTCATTGAACTTTTTGAAACGTTTCACTTTTAGAGAGAGGTAAGGGATTGACTCTGTGTACACAAATTTGCAGAGGGACAATAGGGTTGAGGTCTGTTATTTCTCACCTCTATATATTATTTATTTAAAAACATTTTTGCTGTTAACAAGCATGTTACCTCTGGAGACACAAATCCACAGTTTGAGAACTGCAAAACTAAGCATCTCTGATGGTATCTTCTAGACCAGGGGTCGGCAACCTTTCAGAAGTGGTGTGCTGAGTCTTCATTTATTCACTCTAATTCAAGGTTTCGCGTGCCAGTAATACATTTTAACATTTTTAGAAGGTCTCTTTCTATAAGTCTATAATATATAACTAAACTATTGTTATATGTAAAGTAAATAAGGTTTTAAAATTTTTTAAGAAGCTTAATTTAAAATTAAATTAAAGTGGTGGCCAGGACCCGGGCATTGATTTTTATCCACCGTGACAGTGGGGCATGGTGTGTGTGGGGGGGAGGATTGGTCCCCAGCTGGAGTGAGGCAGGGGCCAGGGGCAAGACGAGCACAGTGGGGCATGGGGTGGGAGGATTACTTCCTGCTGACTAGAGCAAGGCAGGGGCCAGGGGCAAAAGCACAGCGGGCAGGTGCTAGGGTTGGTCCCCGGAGCAAGGGAGGGGCTGGGGGTAAACTGCAAGCACAGCAGGGCTGGGGAGGAGGTAAACAGGA